TGGCACATTTAACCAATTCTCTGTATAGTGAGCCAAAATTTAAGGCCAGTTAAAAGTATAATAACCAAATAAATTGTGGGAGATTGCAGATACCCAAAGGTTTACATTTACATACGTTATGAGAACTTTTCACATGAGGAAAGAGAAAAGAATAATTTTTCTCAAATTGTTTATTATGGGACAAATCAGAATCAACTGATTTGTATAAATCGCCTTGAATATACTTTCATTTCAGCCATTGTCTCAAGACCTAGACAGTTTTTTAGTCTTTCTTTTTCTTTCTAAGAGATTTTTTTTTAATGCTATTAATTGAGATTTTAGCTATCCATAGCCAAAGGTTGAGAATTTATTACATTTTCATATTCCTCAGTGGGAAAGGTATCTAACTACAATTATTCTTGGCATAAGTAAGCTTTGTCGAATCCTTCCTGTCTCCATCTCTGTATTTGATCTGGCCTGGAGATGGAGCCACTCTCCTCTGCATTTGACCAGGGTGCATGCTAGAAGTCTACTTCCTGCATAGCTGTGCTGCTCCCCAACATTCTGGGAATTTTACCTCCAGTTGTAAAATCCCCTGTAAAGGGATAGGAAGACTGTTGTCATTTCTAGAAAAAAAAAACAAAAAACATTTTACTCTGTGAAAAGTCATTTACATTTCTATGTACCTTGAAGGTTCAAGTAATATAACTATTTAGAAAAAAATAGAGAGATTTCTATTATCATAGTTGCCATAAAATGAAATTGTATATATTTCTATGTACCTTGAAGGTTCAAGTAATAAAACTATTTAAAAAAAAATAGATTTCTATTATCATAGTTGCCATAAAATGAAATTGACTTTAAATTATGCTGCTGTCGTTCTGTTTCCTAGGGAGTTTGAAATCTGTTAAATGAGTAATGTGGTGCTAATTATCTGACTTCTATTCATACGAGTTAGATTACACATTTATTAATTGTATTTATTAATTTTATTAAATTAAATTCAGGGGCACTAATACATGTTGTTTGTATCTGAGAAAAAAGAGTCTTTTCTTTGCCTTGCACTTTAGAAGTATTTCATAGTCTTTACTACTCATGCACATCAAACCAACCATTACTTAAAATCTTGATCTTCTTATTCCTTTTTTGAGAAAGTTCACCAGTGTTTTTCTTTATTTATTGCAAAGATTATTCCCCCAAAAAACTGCATAAAATTATTAGTACTTTATCTAACAAATGAGAACTTAAGAAATGTTTCTTGTTGTGATGTTTCTGTTTTGTTTTTCGAGAAATGAGTTAATTTTACATTCACAAGAATATATGCTTCAAGATGTATTTCTGATGCCTCCTGAAGACAGTGTTAATTAGAAGATGCTTTATAGCCTGATCTTTGCAAAGGGAGGTTCATTATATAGAACATGAGAGGATGATCCCTCTTGCTTTTCGGTGTTAATATTTTATTGTGCACAAGTTTCCCCTGGAGAGCTGAGTTAAGGATGCCAATTCTCATTCTGATATTTGAGAATGGAGTGCAGATAGCTGGAATTTTACCTTTCCAATATGGAAGCTACACAGAACAGATTAAGAGACTCCGTCCTTGGTTCTCTCAATGCCATTTAGAATATAATAAGGCGAGGGGCATGGGGAGCAGCATTATCTTACCAGCTTCTGGCATTAAAATGGATGACTCTTCTTTGAATTCTTTCATTTCAGACATTCTAATGGATTTTGAGTCGAGCCCACACCTAATTTTTTATCTGTCTCTGATAATTAACATAGGATAAGCCACTGGAATAAGGATAAACATTAGGCAGAAAACATAGAAGGAGCCCTTTATGATTGCTGTGAATATGTCCAGAAACAATATAACAGAATGGAAAGAGGTTGGGGACACCACAGAAGCAGGTGGCCAGACCAGTCTATTTTGAATAAGGGCTTTTGGAATCAGTCTTCATTCTGAGGTCCAACAAAAATTTGCAATCTCTCTACCTAATTGTTGCTACTAAAAATGAAGTAAAACATTCTCAGCCTAAAATGCCAAGATTCCTACAGCCATGCATGTGTCTACATACACACCAGTCACTTTCTAGCAGCAAAAACCGTGAGAATGGGGGTTTCCTTACTTTGATAAAGTCTAAATTGACAGTTTCTGTAAAAACTGTCAATTTGGATCAGATTCAGTGTCTTCTCAAAAAAATGTGTCAGGGTAAGGAGATGTAGCACACGAAATAATGATTACATGGCTTTTATTAAAGGTATTTCATTCCATATAATGCTTTCTGAAGCAGAAATGTAACAGACAAAATTCATTATTCACACTTTTTTCATATTCATACAGATATGACTGTATAATGAAAATTGGTCTTCTGCCATGACCATAACTCTGAGTCCCTCAGTAATAAATGTTTTCTAGGACCAGGGGATTTATATGCTGAAATCATCTTCACAAAACAAACTTTGTCTGCAAAATAAGCCTCTTGTTTTTAGGGGCTTTGTGTTGCCAAGGGCTTTGTGTTGTTTATTGACATTTATATCAGATACAAATCAGGAAACTTAATTATAAAATGCTCCTAATCCTCCTAAGTGGATTGATTAAAAATATAAATATAAATATAAATTCATTTGTATAAATTTATATTTATTTTAAAATTAAATAGAGAAAAACTTGTTCTCTTTCAGTGAATCAAGAGCAGTCATTCAGGGCTGAACAATGGGAAATGTGAAAAGTGTTGTTCTGGTTAGGTACTCAGCTGGTTAGACTTTAAACATGAGCAGATATAAACTCATTGAACTGTTGAATTAAGCACTGTATGTTTTTATTTAATTATGCTTAGAAAAACAGGTTAAAATATCAGTTGATAGGGTAGCTCCACTGTAATTGATTCAATGTTTTGAAATAGCTATTTCAAATTCCTTGGGTTGGTACAAAACACCTTTTATATTGTGATAGGTGCTGGAACCTAATAAATTTTGGATAACAACCTGGAGAGAATAGATTTCATCTTCCACTGAAAATTATTATCAGAGCAATTTTTATTGTATGCCTAAGTGTTTTAGTATTGTCAAGCTTTAATGATTTAGGAAAATCCTTGATACTGCCAAAACATCAGAGAAAATCAGGAGAACTAGGTAGAACTGGTAAATTGAGTCTGTACATAATCACTCATTAAACTCACAGAGCATGGTCATCGTTTCTTTCTGCCAATGAGCTGAGAACTAGATGTGAATGTGATTCTAGAGGAAGGAGCATAGTGATAGGTCAACAGGTGGCAGAAGTTTTCAAGACTCAGTTCTGCAGTTCTTCTGTGGGAAGGTAGAATTAACTGATACAAGACAGATGATTCTTCCAAGATGATGTTGGTGATGGTATCCACCATCAATGTGACAAAGCTAAGTTGGAGACTAGGTTAATTGAAAATAAAATAGTTGCACTTCATTTCAAAAATTATCTGACGTGATTTAAGAAACTGATCCAAAAGTTTCTTGAATAATTTCTTTTTGTTATTCAAAGTTGTTTCATTATAATGCGATGGAATTTAACTCTTATTTATATCAGTTAGCCTATGGTAAAATCAATTTCGTTATACATTGTTTCCTTAAAGTCTCAGAACTTTTCGATGACCTTAAGTGAGCACTTATTGCACATTGTTTATCCTAATAATAAATCAATATGCATAGTTATGAATAAATATTTGGCACTTTCCAAGACAGAAAAGTAACCTCTACATATATTCACCAAAGTGTACACAGAACCATTTTAAACATTGTAGGATTTTTTTTAACATACACATTTAACTTTATTTCATCATTATTATTTAAAACTTGACATTATAAACCATTAAAAGACATTTTTAAGAGTTATGTATTACAGAAATTTAAACAGTAGAAATATCTATAGCTTCATAGGTTCAAGTTATCGATATGGAAACTACTCAGTGAAAAAATGGCAAAAGAACAATTTTATTACTTATGGATTATCATTAATTACTTTCAGGATCTAAACAAAGACCATGGTTTAAATGTTTTAACACCATTTAAAAGTCATTAAAGTTAACCTTTCAAACTCTAAACTGTATGACATCAATAGCTACTAAGTAAAGAGGGCACATACTTGCTCTCTTTCTCTCTCAGTGTCATGATAAGCTTTCCATTTTGGCTAAGTTTTTGGTCTCTACATAAATGGCCTATGAGGGAGAAGTCCTTTTTCTCTAAGGGCTTCAAGTGGATCACCGTTAGAACCAATCCTGACCTTTCAGTCCCTGAGAAGTTCAGGTTTATTCTAGGAGAAACATAGACTAAATAAGAGTAAAAATATCAGTAAAAGAGAGACTATACGTCTAAGCAACAGAAATTACATATTACAAGAAATCATGTCCAAATGGTCGGGAGATAAATCAGTATCAGAAAAAGATAATCTTTTCACATGAGCCAGGAAGACATTCCCTTGAAGTTGACCAAAAAAAAGATAGCAAATTTTCCATTATTTTTTCAAGTTTTTTTCCTAATAACTATGGACAGATAATAGTTAAAATTGAGAGCTTGTTTGTGTATGACCAATCAGAAAAGCCAATATATTAAGGATTCTTATTTAAATATCCCAATGGGCATATTCCAGGAGAAGGATGCAAAAGTAGTCAGAGAAGTGGTCCATTTGGACCTGTGCCGCTGCCCAGAATATTTTCCTAAAGCACTAATCCAAGTAGTGTCTTTCTTTGCTTGAAATCCTGCAGTACTTTCTCCCATAGCTTCAAATTCCTTGGGTTCATACGAAACACCCTTTATGTTATGGCCTTAGTCCCAGTGTCTAGTTAGTACCTTCTCCACAATCACAACTCCTGTGCGTCTCTCCCATTATATGGTGAGTTCAACAGAAGGGAGGAACTGTATTTTACTCATTTTTGTATTCCCAGTGCTAGGCCCATAGAGAGCCTCAGCAAGTATTGGTTGAATGGTTTGAATAGATGAATAGAACTGTTGCAATAGTGTGAAATCCTAACATGGCTGTTTGTTCCTTTTCCAAGGACTTTGGCATTATGTTCCTGCATCACCTTGTGTCTATTTTCTTGATTACCTTTTCTTATGTCAACAATATGGCCCGAGTAGGAACCCTGGTTCTCTGTCTTCATGATTCAGCTGATGGTCTTCTGGAGGTAAAAGTTTTCTTCATCGTTAAAAGTACAAAATCTAGAATTCGGAAAGTCCTCAACAATCATCACTTCTATATAATTCTAGATGGTGCTGGGGGATGATAGTATATGACTGCTTTGAAACTGCAGAGTGTTTCTTTGTAGGTGAAATTGGTATAAGTGAGATTTTAAATCAGTATATACAATTTTGTACAAAAAAAATGTTCATCATGTTAGCATTCTTTATAAATAGAATAATGAAAACCTTTATTATTCCACACTTAAGAAATAAATATTTTACATTAGGAAAATTGTTACTTGAATAGAGTTGATTTCTGGTATTTTAAACTTCACATTGATTTATCCAGAAAGTGTATATAACTCAGTTTAGTTATTAATGGGAGTTGTACATCCTGATGGAGTCAATTAGTAGTCATAGTTTTTATTGCCAATATACATATTATCCTAGCATTTTTACAGTGAAAATTATATACAAATTGCAAATTACATATAAAAGTTGTTTTCTATGCATGTAAGTATAAAAAATATCTAGGAATATATTGGTTGCACTTTAACTTTCTAAATCATTATCATTTAGAATTATCAAAGTAGCAAAAAAAAAAGAAAAATGAAAATATTTCTAGCATATTTCAAAAGACAAAATCCCAAGAAAAATTTAGATGTGACATTTATACTTTTAATTATAGCCCCTGTAAAGAAACACACTCAATAATGTTATATAATTAAAGTTTTTCCACTTAATCTGAGAAATTTATGTAACTGGTCAAAAATAAACCAGAATATAAACTCCATGTAGAAATAGGTCTGAGTATATGTATTCTGATTTTTTTATTCCTGTTGGCTCATAGTTCTTTCTGCCTCTTTGAAACATTCACTGTCACTGTGAATATAGAATAGAGGTGCCTTCAAATAATGATCTATTATTACAATTTAAGCAGAAATCCCACGCCATAAAATTGAACCTACCATAAAGGCAGTTAGTAAAGATTTGAAGTATTATATAGTCCTAATGGGCTAGGGTATATCAGATGATAGTTTGGCACTATGATTTTAAGTGTGTCAAGCTAGGCTCTATTCCACATATGTTTTAAAGAAGAACTATAATTAATATGGGAGCAATACCTAGAAAATCAGTTACCACTTGGTTAAATTGTAAGTGTGCTTGAAAGTAGAAATTTATAATACAGCATTTTACAGTTTTGAAATCAACCCTGTACAATCTGCCAACTTTAATCTCTGGAAATGGCTGGCATGGTGCTTGGCAGAGCCATGAGTCAGAAATGTTGGTTGAATCATCATCTACCACTTTAATCTAGAAAAGAAAAATAATCCAGAATTCCTAGTCATGTGGCTTAAAAGCAGATGTTCTTGTCAACTGGATTCTCTTTGATATTATAAAATATTGCTTGAGAATGTTCAAATAATTATGTTGATTGTCAGCTCTTCAAAGTGGGATTTATGGCCTAGACATTTCCAAAAAATTTATGTTTAATACTTTTTTATTGTATACTGGTGAATGAGTGTAAAAGAACATCTACATGGTTACCTAGTCAGGAGGAATCAAAGGATGCTTTTTTTCTTTCTTAATGTAATTTGTGGTGTCACACCCAAAATATTCATAAAATTAAAAGTTCATCTTGTCTTCTACTCAGTTAGTAGATATATCCCCTTAGGAATATAGTTCTCTGAGAGCTTCATGTTTTACTTAAAGCTATTAAATTATAGATTTTGTAGATACCGTCAACAATCTTTTCAAGTTTGGCTCAGCTAATTTAACTTTCCAAGCAGTAAGAAATAATGTTATGAATTCAGAAGACATCTTCAATTTGTAACCCTGTGTATAGGTGCTTGTCAATTCTAGGTGAAAATGTAAAAGAGAGGTGATCAAGCAAAATTATGTGTTCAGTGTCACCTGTTTTTACTTAGACTCATCCATAAAAAGTAGATGGTAGAGAGAGGGATGTG